CAATGCTGAGCTGTTTTTATCCTCTCTTTGTCCAGGTATAGTATTTTTGTTTTTATATTATTTATTATTGTGGCTTTTAGATTTTTGTTTTATACTGACTTTTATTGTTGTGCACTGCCCAGCATCCCCTTTGGAGGAGCTGAGCAGCAATATTAATTTGATTAAACAAACAAACAAGCAAGCAAATAATAAGATCTGGCACTCACAGAAACCAAACCTCTCTCTAACTATAAGGCAGCATTCTTAATCTATCTCGGAACTGTAAGCATTGCTTTTACAAATTGGGACTGGACAGCTTCCAGGATATTAAACTTTATAAAAATGCAAATTAGAACACCATAAAGTAGCTTAGCAAGGAAAACTTTGCAGGCTACAGGAATAAAATGTGCCCTCCTTGAAGGGAAGACTCTGAAGACAGCTTTGGGCCTGCATTGGGCTATACTTCCCCCATAAGAGAAATGTGTGCTCCAAGATAAGAAATCCTGAAAGTGCCACCCCTAACTACTCTATTGGAGGCCCATTAATTAATTTTCCATTATGCAACCTAGTGTTGTATCATGCGATCACTGGAACTCTAATTTTTTTGATAATTTACTACAAGTTGTTCTTTTAGGCAAAAGGAAGCCAATGCCCCCACAATGCCCTTTTCATTCCCACCTGGGAGATAGATAATACTACTACATTGTTTGCATGAAATTGGATGATCTGCTGATATTGGAGAGTGATGACTAGAAGATGGTAAAGCTGAATAAATGAATTGATGTACAAATTAAAAAATAAGGGGCTTACACACACCTTTTCCTTACCCTTCTTATCATGGACCAACTCCAGAAATGTGCACCTATTTGCTCTCAGAAATGTCCACATTTACTCTCAGTGAGATGTCAGAATAGAGCAGGGGTCTCCAACCTTAGCAAATTGAAGCCTGGTGGACTTCAACTTCCAGAACTCCTGGAATTCTGGAATTTGAAGTCTACTAGGCTTCAAGTTGGAGACCTCTGAAATAGAGAGTCTGAATAAAAAGGAGCAATCTTTTATCCATACAGGATTCCTGATTTTTTTGTCATAGCCTCTCCCTTGGAATCAGATCAAAAGCTGATCTGAAATACATAAAGGCTGCAAAAGGGGTGCCTTTGTATGGTGAATAATATTTTTAACCTAAATGGTGTGAGACCAGAATAATGGTCTAAGGTTGAAGGGTCCAGTCTAAATCCTTCCTGTTGGTTAACTCTAATTATTTTTACTTTGGACACAATCCAACCCTTTAAATAAAGATACTTTGCATATACTTTGCTTATTATATTAAGCTAGATAATTGGTCTATAATTGGCAAGATTAAATCCATTTCCTCTGTTCCTCTGTTCCTCTAAAAGGGGATAACTTTGGCCTCATTCCATCCAGATGGAAAATGTGCTGTGCTATTAATATAAGTTAAAAGAGCAGCCAGCACTGGGCACTACCAATCTTTACTTTCTTTCAGCAACTCTGGAGGGAGTTCCAGGAGCTTCCCCAGATTTCAGTTGTATAATGAAATACTCAGCCATCCATAGACACAGGAAGGCATTCAGGAGAAGTCATCACTGAGTGAGGAACCACCATTGGATTATTTGTTTAATATTCCTGGTTTTAAAATTTCTGAAAGTAACTTGTTCAAATATCCGCAGGTATTTGGCGGATGAAATTTAAAACACTACTTGTAGGAGAGCAGTTAATTAGGCACCATAACCAAGTTGAGTTCTTAAGCTTAACTCCCCCCCCCTCAATCCTCTTTCAGTGCTTGTCCTTCTTAGTTTGATTGGTGCTTTATATTATTGTGCTCTCTGAATGACTGAAGGGAACCTAATGAGTTGTTAGGTTGAAAAGTATACTCTGCAGTAAGAAGGGCCTTTTTTAACTGTATAGCAATTTGTTAAACAAACCCTAAATATCGGGGCCTGAGAGTTTGGATAATAGATTGGTAATATGACAATATCTTTTCAGAAGCATTTGCTAAACAGATTTGGAAGTGGAGTTGAAGTAATGGTTCTAAATTTAACAGAGTGGGCAAGTTTCTAGCAATTCTAGAAGACCATTTGTTTTGAATGAGTCTTTTTATTGTGGTCTCAGAGGACAGCTAGGAACTTAAGAATTACTTTAGGATAGATGGCACATTAATGGGAAATGGTCACTATCTGGGTTTATTATATCAAGTACTGAATGTGGAACCATAAAATAATCAAACACACTTGCTCCTTTGGAGCTTCAGAAAGTTAGTTCCACATCCAGGCTATCTATAAGCGAGTCCACTCTGAAGTCTGCCATATTATAGTTTTATTTTTAGACTGTTGAGCCAATAAAGGAAATATTATTTCATTTGAAGGGAGAGACCAATTAAAATGAGTTTGTAAAAAAGCATCTGACTCTCCAATGTGAACATTGAAATTACCAGCAATAATTACTAATGCATCTGGGTACTGGCAAAGCAGTCTGGAGTTATAGTTGCCAAGAATATCCCAAATACTATCAACTTCATCATATGTTTGTAATAGGGAAATATATATATTGATGAATAACATATTGTGAGGCTTAATATGAACAAAATGGGCTAGAGCCATACTGCCACATGGCCCCAGCACAGTCACAGAGATGTTAAATTTTGTAGTTACCATTTTGTTCAAACCTCCAAAGGAATCTTTTATTTTTAATGCTGGGTAATGCCTGGAGTGTGTATGGAGTGTACCTAGAAAACGAAATATCACCTATGGTCCATATTTTCTTCAGCAACAAAATATCAGAAGTTAATATATTATAGAAAAAAGCTGTGCTATTAGGATGGAGTCCAGAGGGAAGCAGACATTAGGAAAGGGTCAGGATAGTTGGATTTTGGGTTGTTTTATTAGGATTCTTTTCTTCTCGGGGTCTATGGCTTCTTTATTACCTTTATTGCTTTGCTTTTATAGTGCAATCCAGCCAGTGTTGTTGATTTATTTATATGATTTTATTTGTATAGGCACCCATCTAACCTACGCAACTCTGGGCAGCTCATAGTAATTAAAACAGTTTCAAAAACAGAAAACAAATGAAAACAAATATACATCCTTTAAGCTAAGCTTGATTTTTGATGATTATGTACAAACAGTAAATCAATGTGTTTCCCTTACAACAATGTGGAGGCGATTTCCTATTACTTTTTGAGGAAGTAGCTTTTTCAATTTCTCAATTTAATTTAGTGTCTTTGCATTTCCATTGATGTCTCATGAGAAACCTTAGAGTGAAACTGCAGCTCTGTTAATGTTATATTTTCTGTTTATTTTCCAAATAGATTAACAGAACAAATAGATGATTTTCATTAGATGAAGTTATGAACAAAGAAAATAGTTTTAACAAATTTCTCCAATGCTCCAATAATAATCTAGGATTCTCACATGAAACTCAGTTTTGTCTCTAATTTCCATGGATGATTGACTCTGAAGTTAGTCATTATTGACTTTGGAAAGTTCCAAAGAAATGAGGTTTTCTAGAAAAGGTGTTAGAGTAAAAGTAAGATTTAACAAACCCCTGAAGCATTCTTAGCAATATCAGCCTTCCACTGTAGGACCAAAGATCTAAAGTCTTCAAACAAATATAAAATAGAATATGAAATGACGGATTCATTCATTCATTCATTCATTCATTCATTCATTCATTCATTCATTCATCTTATTTTATATTAAAACTATATCCATATGATATATTTTAGATACCTATTTTAACCATAGCAAACATATTTTTGAAAATTTTTCATACAAAAAAATCTACTATTAAAACGCTAACACCAAATAGCTAAAAATATACAATAAACAAAGCAATTATAATTTTCTAACACAGGCCCTCCTGGATTACAAATAAAACAGTAGAGCTCAGTGACATTTGTGAAAAGTTGTGCCTGTATTTCTGCAAGTATTTAGAGTAAGAGGTTATATAATAGAATGAATGAATTGGGTTTCCAGACCACTTGTTCTAAATTAGTACTGCTGTCAGAGATATCAGATATTCAGTACCACTATTGCTATGGTCAATAAATGTTTGTTTAAAAATAATTAAGAATTAAAGAAGTCAAGAATACATTAGGAGCAAATTCTACTTGAAAAATCTTATCAATTAATTTATTATTGGAAGAGATAATGTAAGCCAAGAATCCATAACATACAGCACCAGGCACCAGTGTGCTTCCAGACAATTCCCCTGGTGCCCAACAAGTTCAGCTTCCCTTGGAGCTTGTTAAAACTATTTTAATTAATTATTTACATTAATTAATTTTAATTAATTTAAGTAGGATATTGACATGCTGCAGAGCAAAGTACCAGCCTTTTGGAGTGCAATTTATTTGCAAGAATGCCTTTGGCATCCCAAGAAAGCTAGTTTGTCTTTTGGTAAATGCTGTCCAGTGACTGACCATGCTCATCACAGCAGCCCTGTTAATTTGCAAGTTTTTCACAGGAATCACCTTTTCTGCAAGCCTGCCAAATATTTTGACTTCCCAAATGTGCCTAAAACCTTGAAACATTGAACAAATAACTTGCACAAATTATTTATCAAAACAAAACTTTAGGAAGTTGAAAAAAAATTCCTTGTACTTAGCTTGTTCCAGGCAGACGGCTATGTTGGTCATTCCTGGACAGCTGGGGTGTGCTTTTGGCCTTCCTTAGCCTCTTTTTTTTCTGGCCTCAGATTTAAAGCAAAGCTGGGAGGCTGATACTAAATAATGGTTTTAATTTGTGGGATATTTAAAATAGTGTCTACATCAGTTTTTCTCAATCTTGGCAAGATTGAGAAATGCCGCCTAATTCTTAGCCACTTATCATGTCTCAGAACACTGTCAACTGAGTGGCTAGGTGAGATCTTTCAGATATATGGAAATAGGAGAGAAGAGATACAAGGTTTCTTTGTTTGGCTTCTCATCAGAGAATCCATGTTGGCAATTTTCTTCTTAAATGTGTATTAATTATTTTTGTTTGTGTTTATTCATCTTCTTGATATAGATACGCAAAAGAAAGTTCCAGAGGATTTTGACATAGACATGGATGCACCAGAGACAGAGAAAGCTGCTGTGGCGATACAATCTCAATTCAGAAAATTCCAGAAGAAAAAGGCTGGCTCCCAGTCTTAGTTGTTACCTCACAGTTTTCCCCATCAAACACTAGTCTATCTGGAAATGAATTAAAACTTTTAGATGCATGTACAGGAATAACCACTATTTAAAACCCCAATTGTCAGATATCAAAATAAGTATGCATATGTTGTGGCTTAGTCTCTATATTGACAACCAGTATCAGTTCTTCTGTAATCCACATTTTACCTGATATTAAAATAAAATATTAGGATGAAATTACTGAAATTTGGTCAGTCTTGCGCTGCATTCTTATATTATTTCAATAAATCCAGTGCTTTACATTAAAAGAATGCAAATGTTCACTTTTGTCTTCAGTGTGAGCGATAATCACCACATTATATTCTGTTTTGAGCTTATTTATTTTCTGAGGAATGAAAGTATACATTTTTCTTATCTCATTTGATGGGCCAAAATGTCATCCACATGTCAATAACCAATATTTTTTAACTACGGAAAGAGTCAAACATTTCAGCCATTTTCCAGTCTAAATATTTAATTGACTGATACTGATACCATAATAATAATAAATATGAGAGTTTTGAGTGGTGACATGGATACTTTAATCCAACAAGGTTTGGAGCATCATTTCTGCCCTTGCCACAGCCAACTACTTAAACGTGGTTCACTCAAGCTGAGGCACAAAAGGTGCCTACAATTTATGGACTATGTAGAGTTTCTAAAAACTAAATAGCAAAGTATTATTTTTAAGAGGACGCTTGGATAATGCTCCAAAAAGGAACTCACCTGAGCCCGCTCCAAAATAACATTTATTCAGATGTTAACTGTGGCATATACAATTGACATGAGAGAAACAGTTGCCTGTCACAAAAATTTTATTACCTAAACTTCATCATTTTCAAGATAGCAGGCCTTGGAAGTATGATGAAGATATCCATAGAAATTACTCAAATTGCTTCATGTTGAACCAGACTACTCAGCTTTTAGCATTAATCAGCAATTACCCCATGTTTTAAATGGGAATCTTTCACAGCTTTATGGGGAATAGACCAGAGAAGCTTTATATGAAATGATCTACGGTATCTTGCTATTCTTTCAGATAACAGATCCTGCAGTTCACATACTCAAAGGAAAGATGCCTGCAATCAAATGTTAATCTTTTTATTTAAACAATTAAGTAAAATATAAAAAAAACTCCTTGAAGTAAAAATGTGACACAGATTAATTCTCATGCATATTTATTTAAAAAAACAGAAATTAAAAATAAAGTTATGTACCGGCAATAATTAAGATTGGGTTCTCATCACAATAATTGGAGAAACACTTAAATCAATGAGAAATCCATCATTCATAACTAGGATAGCGCATTGATATCAAGGCAAAATCTGGATCCATTCAAATGCCTTGATTTCTCTCTGAATGAAAAGATACAATACTCACACTGAAGTTCTTGTAATTTTTTTCAAATATAAAAAGGCAAATAAATATGAGAAAAAAGTATCACTTATATATCATTGATGCTGATAGTAATAATGCTGCAAAGCAGTCAAATGGCATTTGGTATTAAACGTTGGGCATATCAAATTAATCAAAAGCTTCCACACAGGTGTTCTATTTATTAAATGCTTTCTGCATTTGAAAGCTGACTTACAGTTTAATTGGCAGACATCAAAGGTTATCCAGCCAATTCATGACATCAGCACAATCATGTAAGCCAGATATTTAATAGTAATCTTTTCTGATGAGATCACAGGATAAAAGAAGGCAATGAAGGTGGGCTTCTTTCCAACATCTGCCAATTCTGAGAATTGCCTCCTATGACTGTTTTAGCACAATGTATTCCCTCCTTGCCACCTGCTTTATGTAGTTGGGCCAGATTGGAGATTGCAATATTTACTATTGCTCTGATTTTTGTACAATTTGCACATGAGGGAAGAATAGTAGCAAGAGAACTACTGAAACATATTTGTAATGTAGCTAAATTCTTTTGATGAGATTCTTCCAGATCTCTTGCCCCAAATTAAACAATGGGTTCAATATTTTGGTTCCTCACTTAGTTTATTCTCAGCATAGAGAGAAGGACACATACAGTTCATGGGGAATTTTGATTATTTTTATTGTCAAATAAATATAATTTGTGAGCATAACATGTGGACATAATTTGTTTCAATCAAGCAAAAATGAACTGCATGTATGAGCCTTTTTTCAACCTGGCATTTCTTGATATATTACAATATAACCTCCATAATACCCACCAGTCAAATTGACTTAAAAGTGTGAGAATTGCAATTTAACAGATTCAAAGGTTATTACACAAAATAGATAAATTTTAGTAAGTCTAGAGGCTCTTCTTCAAAAATGTATCTTTATAGATTATAGTGATTACAAAGACTCCTGATTAGAAAGATGCAGATGCTTCCCCATTGCTTATAACCAAATAGCTTGCTTAGCTCTGATTTTATGTGTGTCAATTAACAAAAATACATGTTTTATCATCTCACCTTCAGTGAAACATATGGAGCCATGGTTTACATATTCAAATATTTGCTTGGCTCTGTGGGCTACATGGGGATCAGAAGGAATGGAGCTTTACAAGAGAGAGCGTTCTCCAGCTGTTTAGAGGCACAGCATTTCCTGTCCATAGCAATCACAGCAAAACTGTCCACACGTCTCCTTTCTTTAATTTACTAGCTGAGCTGCAAAAAAACCAAAGTAAAGCAGTGAGAGGTAATCCACTTCAGTGCCGCAACTCAACAAACAGTGACAGCTGTGGAGAATGAGTTGTTCTGGAAGAACATTATGGCTGAGCTGCTGGTCTCTGGATTAGTGCAGTAAATACAATAAATGCTTACCATTAGCAGAGGTAAAAAAATAAAAAAGGGCTGATCAAATCCAGGTATCATTTTTGTTGTTCATCCAACTATTTGTGATGTGACACACAGCTCATCAGGATTGCCTGTCAATATAACTTATTTGAGTTCTTATGAACTCATGCTTGCAATACCTGGTTTCTTGTCTTCGGCTGGCCTCTTTTCTATTTTATTTTTCTAAACATCAGTGCCTTTTCTAAACACTCTTGGTTTCACATTGTGACCAATATATTTAAGTCTTAATTTCATCATTAGCACTGCTGACTGTTTTTACTTAATCTATTATTGAATTATTTGCTTTTCTTCCTGTCCAAGGTACTCTCAGCAATTTTTTTAGCACCACAGTTCAAATCCATTGATTTTTCTTTATTCAGTCTCTCTGATAGTACAGCTTTCACAGACATAAATATTTTGTGGTTTTGTATAATACAGATTTTTTTTGGTAATGTGATGTCTTTACACGTTAACCTCTTATTTATGATCTTTCCCCCAAGAAGCAGATGTCTATTTTTTCATTGTAATAATCATTATTTCTGTAGACTTTTGAGCACAGGAAGCAAAATCTCTTACTGCTTCCACACTGGCTTCAGTATACTCTCATTTTTCACCTTCAGTAAAAATTAGGCTACCAAAGTAGTTTCATCACAACTTCTGAGGTAGTTCAATTTCTTCTGGCAATTTTAATTCCAGATTCTATTTTTGTAGCCAAGCATTCCTCATAATATAATCAGTATGTGTTAAGTAGTTGGGATGATAGTATAGCAATAGCAATAGCAGTAGACTTATATACCGCTTCATAGGCCTTTCAGGCCTCTCTAAGCGGTTTACAGAGATTCAGCATATTGCCCCCAACAATCTGGGTCCTCATTTTACCCACCTCGGAAGGATGGAAGGCTGAGTCAACCCTGAGCCGGTGAGATTTGAACCGCTGACCTGCTGATCTAGCAGTAGCCTGCAGTGCTGCATTTAACCACTGCGCCACCTTGGCTCTATATATATAGTATATATTTTGGCACACTAATTGAAGCAGATAGTTGCTTAATATTCATTTTGACTGTTATTTTCCAGTCAGTGTAAAATATCTACATGGTTGTATGAATAGTCTCTAAAACTCATAGTTCTATGTCTTTAAGGATTGTCCACTCTATCTATCAACCCCTGCATCAAAGCCTTTGTAGAATCAACATGGAAATAATGTCTTAAGCACTCACTTGGCTTTTCCATTATCTATCAGATATTTGCAATGAAATCTGCAGTGCTGCTGCTGAAATCAGATTATATGTCCAGTACTTTTTGTTTCTTATATTGTTAAAGTCCAGGCTGCAAAATCTTGAGCATCATCTTCATAGCATGTGAGATGAGTATAATTGTTTGCTACTCTGAATTGTCTTAGCTCTTCCCTTTTTTGGTATTGGAATAAAGACTGATCTTTTCCAGTCCGCAGGCCAGTTCCGTGTTTTCCATACTCACATTGAAACAGCAAGAAGCACTTTAATCCCTTACAAGCAGATCTATTGGAAATCTTCTATGTCATAAACCATCAAAGTTTTTTGTGGCTTTTTCAAATGTTTGGTTTTTGTTTAGTCTTCATACCTTTGTATGTACCAGTGATTTGGGGGTCTTTTTGTAGAGTCTTTTTTTTCTCCATTTATCTTTTGTTATAATCATCTTTGTATAACAGTTTTTTCTTAATTTCTCTAATTCTGTGAAATAAATGTCTTCTCTTTAGTATTCTCTAAAAACTGACATTTAGTTGGGTAAATTTTACTCTTTTGCTGCTGCTTTTTGTCTTTCCTCAGCTGTTTTCAACATATCTTAACATATCAGTCCAGAGTTCTTAAGGCACTCTCTCAGATCTAACCCATTAGCTCTATTATATATTTCACTACATTATTTGGATGGAATATGGCTATGATAGTATCTTCCTGATTTTGTTTGCTTTCTTTAGTGGAATTTGGAAACAAGTAGTTCATATTCTGAGCCACTAGATTTTAATTTTGTTGACTGATTGGAGTTCCTCCAACGTTGTTTCTGAACTATTTAGTCAGTTAAGTTTCAGTATTGTCCATCTGATAGTGTCTATGTGTCAAATTGTCTGTTAGGTTTTTGGAAAAAGACATTTCTTGTGAACATCAAATTAGCCCAACTGAACTCTTGGACTTCAGAAGACAGGTTCATGTTTTAAAAGGATCTCCCTCAACTTGTACTTTGAACCCTACCACATGAAATACAATTCAATGATAAGAAATGTAATATTCTGCACTTAGGTGAAAAACCAATTAGACAAATGTAAGATAGGTGGTTTCTGGCTTGGTTTGGTATTTATGAGAAGATCTGGATATCCTGATAGAGTACAAATTAATCATTATCCAGCTAGCTGTGTGCTTCAGCTGTCAAAAGAGCTGATGTAATCTTGGGCTTCATTCAAAGAGATTCAGTGACAAGAAATGATACTCTCGGTT